TATAGCTGATACGATATTGATTTAAAGTTCGAAAAAACTGAAAGAATTTTTATTAATATAAGCAATTTGCAATCTAAGGACATAGACTTACCTTTGATTGATTATTTTTCAATCTATGAGCTTCATCAACAACCAAAACTGACCAATCCACACTTTGTAATGTGGCTTGATCAATAGCTATTAACTCATAAGAAGTTAATAGCACATGAAACTTTACTCGACAATCTTTCCTCATTCTTGTGGCCTTGGAGCCTCCACGAATTGCGCCTTCATCCAAGCTAAACTCATTTTCTCTGCAGAACAATTTGTTATTAATTTTAACTTATTAGGTGAAAATTCAACAAACCGAATCACAGCTCGACTATCTTTATCACCGATATATGTTACAACATATAATTCAGGTGCCCAAAATTCAAATTCTCTCTCCCAATTGATAATCGTAGAGAGAGGAGCACTGACCAAGAAAGGACCTTTAGAATGCCCTTCTTTGTAAAGAGAGTACAAAAACGATATAGTTTGAATAGTTTTCCCTAATCCCATTTCATCGGCAAGAATGGTATCGATATTGTTACCCCAAGAATATCTCAACCAATTAACACCTTCCAACTGATATGGATGCAATTGACCTCCTGTATCATCTATGTAATCGGGTTGCTTTTCCCATTTTTTCCTTAGCTGAAATGTTTACATATTTAACATTTTTATGTTTTATACTTTACATAGATATACAGTATATATATATACTTACATCTGTATTGGGTTCATCAGGTGGCAGTCTTAGGCGAACGTTAGATTTTTCTTTGTCTGTACCGTCATCGTCATCATCATCATCATCTTCATCTTCTTCATCAGTATCCATATGCTTTCGTTTTTTTGGTTTTTTCTTAGGGTTTTTCTTGCCAGCCTTTTTGCGACTTTTGTTCCCTTTTCCATCATTTATACCTAACATGGATGCCCTAATAAGGTGATAATCTTCAATGAATTTTGGAAAGTCAACAATGTCTTCATCCTCAGCCTCCCAAGTTGCTTGATCGTAATTGAGATCTCGCCACTTCACTAGATACCAAGTAGTACCATCTCTAGTAGCTCTATGATTTATTATTCTATTGATAGTTAGCCACTCTGGCTTTATACCATATCGGTAGAACCTTTCCTCTAGATTATGAGGATCTTCTTCCCTTTCTTCTCGTTTAGATCCAAAGGAAGATCCGTCTTCCAAAGGTGGTGGCTCGTCCATGTCAGTTTTTCTCGTGTAATTTCGAAACATGATGGAATGATAAACATCCAATTGAAGTTCCGATACCCAGTTGCAATGCCAATAGGATTGGTCAACCCATTTAACTAAAAACTCTCTTTCTCGTCTTGGTTCCCGCTTTTTAGATTTTTCATCCGGTGGATGCTGGTGAGGAGTGACATGATCAAGAACATCTGCGACGTTTATCGGTTCTTTCCATCTCCAGAAAAGAATCTTTTGAACTTTTCCCGGCAATGGTTCGCAAGAACAACGTGGACATATCCATTCGCCATCAGGTAAATCAGTGAGGGCAGGAATTAAGCAAAATGTATGATAACTTGATGGACAACGATCGCAACATAAAAGTTCACCACCATCTTTACAAACTCGGCAAAATTCTTGATGTTCGTCGTCCTCGTCATCATCAGGCTCAATACCATTTTCTTCCTGTTGATAAAGTAAAATTTTATACTGATATTTTAAATTTCAAAAGCAATTCGCAACACTTACGCAATGTGGGCAACTCCATTTGCCTTCTGGGGCTTCTTCTAATTCAGGGTCAAGACAAACTAAATGATATGCCCTAGGACAAGTATCGCACAGAATGATTTCACCACCTTGTTGGCATACTTCGCAATAATCCTGATGCTCAGTCTGATAAAAAAATGCAATATAGAGGTACAATCTCGCACGAGGAACAGAAATATAATTGAATACATTTCAAGTGATTGATATACATGTCGGCTCACCTGTAATTTTCTAGGTCGTCTTTTCTTAGCATTTTTACCTCTGCCCTTTTTAAGCCTCTTCTTCCCCAATGTTACCTCGGACTTTTCTTTCTCTTGCTTCACCGTTAAAAATTGCGAATTATTTATTCTATAAAAATTAATAATTTAAAGCTTACTTGTTCCAAAATGGCTGCCTCTTCCAACTGCCTCTCAAATTCTTCATCTGACGTGTCAAAACCACCAGGAGCGATTTCTTCATCAGAACTGGTCTTCTTTTTCTTTTTCTTTTTAGAAATTTTTATTTTTAAAGGAGCTACTGTTTTCCCTTTTTTAATTGTATTTGATCGGCGTTTTTTAGCAGAAGACGTAGAATTTTCGTTTTCCTCAACAGCCATTTGAGCTTCAGCTTCTCCCTCCTCGCCAGCAGCATGAGCAGCAGCTGCAGCAGCAGTTTTAGCAGCTCTTGCTGGTCGGCCGGATGTCGGAGTTGACGCAGCACTGTCAACTGCTAGTCCACTCTTTTCTTTGTTATTTGGATTAGAGGCTATGAACTCTCTCCATTTTGCCCCCACAACGTCAACTAGTTTGGGTAGGGGTATTTTAGGATTCTGTTCACTGATAATTGGACGAATATATTCTTCAAAAGCTTTCCTATTCTTCAACAAAGCATAATCCTCATCCGTATATTCAATAGAAGGATTTACAAGTCCATATTCGACGCATAATTCTTCAGATGATCTAAGTTTTCCTAACTCTGAAGCCTTTGTTCTCGCTCGACGCTTTCCTGGCTTCGGTGTGTCATTTGCTGATTCAACATCAGGTGTTGCCCCGAAATCACCGCTCTCCATACCTTGTGCGGGCGTAGCAGGAGTTCCCGGTCCGGAGTTACCACCTTCTAAACCGTCGTCGTCTAAGCTATCGTTCTTTCCCTTTTTCTTCTTTTTACTTTTCTTTTTTCGTTCACTGCCACCACCATCTTTTGCTTTGCGCTTTTTACCGCGTTTGTTCTCCTCTGAATTCGATGGTATTAGGCCTTCATCTGAAATTATCAACATGGCAGGAGAGCTCATAATAAAAAAAACTAACTCTCTATTACAACATACCAACAAATCAATGGTATATATTGATTTTTCATTATAAATTAGCGACACACACTCTTCATACCTCTATCGTGCAATATAAATACTAAGACTAGGCCGTTTACAGTTCTACACTAATTAATTACCGATTTTCAAAGGAGGATTTTCGTCTTCGCTATCTTCCAGGGCGTCTGTAAGGAACGAAGAAACCTCGCGTAAGATGTGAAATAAATCAGACAACGAACAAAAACATCGATTTTCGTCACTCAGTGCTAAACTGTACCACGCTATAAATATGCATTTGTAAAGGGTTAACCTAATTGGCGCATGCGCACTTGCTACTGACTCTCAGATATTCATCCAGATATTTAGCCGAGTTCTTTGTTCGGCGTCTCACCCAAAATTACAGATAGACGCCCGCACAATTTAACTCATATACCCATTAGTATATACATTTAACACGTTGAATCCAAAAATCAAGTGAATTTCGGCTGGAATTCCCGGTAAACTACTATTTATAGACAAGTATGCAAATGACAAAGAAACACCGGGTCAAGATAAGAAATGGTAATTTTTACCAGCAAATCACCCTTTTTTTAAATATTTTTAAGTAGTATACATTTAATAGTATTCTTAAGTATCCTGATCTTATAAAAGTGATCAACAATCGAAAATTGATGTCGATGAAAATTTGACTAAAAAATTGTTACCTTCAGCGTCGTCGGGCTCCATATCGATATTATCCGGTTGTCCGTCTTCGCTTCCATATTTACCGCCAACAGGCGACATTCTATTATAATCACAAATATATTATTTCCCTTTAAAAAAGCGAATAATTCGTCGAAAGCGGCGATAAATCGCTAAAAGCGGCCGCCGACTGCCAACGATCCACTTTACACACGCAGTCGCGCAAAATTTTGTGACGTCACTAATTTACTATATCCCAACATGCTAACTAACTAGTCACGTGATCCCTGGCGCCAAAACAAATTCGGCATAGGCCTAGTAAAATTCGTATCGAAAATATTCATATGAAGCGTCATGGTTCGATAGGCCTAGCCATTTGGACCGGCGTTTCTTACACCTTCGAGTCTATACTTCGGCGTAAAAACTCGTGTTAATCGTAGCGCCGAGATTGTCAATTGGCAACAATAGTTCATACATGTATACTTCCTCGAATATGTTACAAGAGTATTCGTTTAGATAACACAAAAGTTGTCTTTATCAACCTTAATGACCTACGTCAAGCATAAGTGAAAGAATATGAATTCTTTATGAAAGGCTTAAATTCTATTTTCTAAATAGAATGGAATGCCTTGATATTATAGTCTGATGCCAAAAAGTCTTAACCAAGTAAATTTCAAATTCCTAAAAGGCATTTAAAAAAAATTCTATTAAAAAATAATAATAGAAAAAACAATTTGATTGAATTCATTTTAATCAATAAGTGTGTGAGGATTAAATCATATGGCAGGTGACTGTGCGGGAGCCATAAGGGTAAATAGATGCGTGTGATAATTGAGATACCTGTCTCAATCTAGATACCTCTCCAACGGCGTCTATGCGTCTGAGTGTTTGAATCACTCTCACTACTACAGCGTCAAGGGTTGATTTAATTACATTATTACTTCCCGCTATTCGTATAAAGGAAAATAATGTACTATTAATCATGCAAGAAATTAGAGTAAATGTAGTTAATTTCCCTTTTCTACCATTGAAAAGAATAAAATAGCGTAACCAATCTCTGAATGTAATATCAATTACGCTTTCATGGAAGTTTCTTACAACAGTGCCATCTTTCGTTAGTCGAACATTTAAATTTGGAAGGAAACTGGTAGAAAAAACAACGAAACATTGATTACTTAAAAAGTTGTTTTTACTTTGCATTTCAAAACTGAAAGTCACTTCTTAAAAGTAAGACTTAAAATTTTTAAAAACACTTAAAAGATTTATATTATTTCATGTAATGGAGTTTGTTTTCATGTGCTGTTGATGTTGTTTTACTGGTATAGGAGTTTGTACTTTCTCCCCTTTATTACTTTCGATTAATTGTTCATCGTATTTCGATAGTAAGTTACCAATACTTTCTAAAGATATTTGGCCTTTTGCTTTTATTATTATTTCTGCCATTTGGTAAAGAAGACTGTATTCAACCTATTTTAAATTTTATTTTTTATTTTACGGTGAATCACTGAGGTAAATTACTTCATCATAATAATTATTAATAGAATAGAATACAAACCAGACTTGATATAAATTCTGGTCTACTATCTCTAATAAGCTTCACGTGATAATATACGTCGACGATATCTTCCTCCAGTATTTTGTTGGCTATGTTTGTAAATGCTATAAAAAGTCCTGAGCGAACAACTCCGTCTCTAAGAATTATCATTAGTTTACAAACATTTACATGTTAGAGGGACGTTCTTATCAATTATAAAAAAAACCTGAGACCTACAGACAGTGGACTGCTATAGTGGTTGCCAAATTTGTTTTTTGAACATGTGATAGAAGGGCTATGTAGATCAAAACAATTTTATTCCTAACTTGTCGTAAGTTTACTTCGTTAACTTCGCTTGGAACGGAACAAGCCAGTTGGGTGACCTTTCTACAAGTCTATAGAAAAGTTTTTCCCTTGTTAGTATAAAATTAACAAAAATATAAAAAGAAAAATATTTCCAAGCAAAAAGCTTACAGTTTGTTTTGAGTTTTTAGGAGTAGGCGCCTTCTGATTTGATTATATACTTTTTATGACTAATGTTTATTAAATGTTTGTCTATAGACTGTACAAACCGCATAATCTATTTCGAAGTCTCGAACAACGATAGTTTTCTCAACAGTCGATTCTTTAATTAGAGTTACTCGAAGTTCATCGAAGACTTTTGAAGAATTATCAGTTGGCCAATACGGTTTAATCTTTAACCGAAAACAATAATATTACAGTGTTTGAAAAAAGAAAAGCAAATAGAAACAGCTTTACACACGCTGTCCATTTCTCTAAGACTGTTTAGCATAATAATATGAGTGCATTCTTGATAAAAGATGATTTTCCAAAAGAGGTTACACGATTGGGGGTCTGAAACATTTGGAGCCTCTGTTACTATAAAACGTTCTGGACTATCGTGGCCCTAAAAAATGAATAAAGCAACAAAACTTTTTCTATCTCTAATTTTAGTTTTATGTCACTAATACAAACATCTACGTAAACAGCTGAAGTTGAAATTGGCGCCCCACTCATTGAAAGAGATTTTGTAACAATTACCATTCTTTTTTCAACTATTCGTTAAGATTAAAACAATAGTAGAAATGTTTAGATTTACCACTAAAGAGAGATACAGGATGGATAACATACGTATAGGTGTAGCTGGATTCTTAGTCATTTTAGTTTTTGAAGGCTTAATATAGGCTGTGGGTGGATAGTTAGCACAACAAATGTGTAATACTTGATATTGTCGTACTATTTCTTTGTAGGGAATCCAACCATTGCTTGTCTTTCGAAAGCATTGATTAGTATAGAATGAAAATTCTTTTACGTCATAAGTGTTTTTTGGCGCCATTAGTTCTTCAAGAATAGTGAGATATAGGAATCGATATTGTAACTACAAGCGCATAATGGTGAATATTAATAAAAGAAAAGTAAAATTTGATATAAATTTACAGGTGTCTGAACCATAGATACTCTCTGCCTACGCAACGAAGAGACGACCTTAAGAATATCTAATTGCTTAGTTTGGGCCAATTGTTGTAGACATATTTCTAAGCATATATAAGTACCGGTCCTCCCAACTCCCGCTCTGTGAGAGCACTTTATAGTAAGTACGCTCCATTTATTTGATAAATTTTAATATTAGCCTTACCGGCAATGGACGACCAAGGGTGCTCTTTTAAAATTTACTACCATCTTATTGACCCTTTCCCTAAATTCCAAGAGAGCCCTACCGTTTGAGGGAACTGAATGATCCGCCCATTTTGTGAATTGAAAATGTCTTACGTTCCTTGTCTGATCTTCCTATGTATTGTAAAAATTAGGAACATCATTATGCAAAGACTCGAAATCAATGCAAATTATACACTTCACTTACTCGAGATAATTTAAATAGTCGAACAATACTTTCGGGATAATAGATGACTTTTATTAAATGTACAAAATAAGAACCATACGCTTGACTTTCATTTTCTTTTGAAGGATAGTACATATAGTCACCGGCGCCCTCTCCCTCATCCTTAAGGTCATTTAACATGATAATACCACTTATTTCATATTGCCAAATCATACGCCAAAAATCATTAAAAGTATCTGACATGGGGCCTTGGCATGCTATGTATTGCTTTGATGTTGAATAACCCTTTGAATTTGTTAACTTATTGGCTTGGATAAATATTGTACACTCATAAACTGACTTCAATAAAACTTGCGTTTATGTAGGTATCGCAAATAGAAGATGCTTGATAATTAGTATCAGCCGTATTGTCTTCCGGTTTTAAGTTGACTCTATTGAAATCATCTGAAGCATTTTATTTGTTTTATTCAGAACAATTTCACCTAGAAGTAATTAATATCATAAGTAATACAAACAGGGAGATACATCCTGAAATCTATTCTTTATGAAACAACGCCGAGCTACATCGCATCTGGCAAATGAAGAAAAGGGGATAGACTAAAAAAAATAGAAGAAAAAATCTTGTAATTTTCTATATATAAAAAACCTTATGCGTGCACATAAGTCAGCATATATACATAAATAAAGAAATCATATTTATATATATACATATATATATATATATATATATATATATATATATGTATATATATGTATATAAATACACATAATATACAGTATATATATATATATACATATATGCATATATATGTATATATATTTATAAATGTGTACTGTGTGAATGAATTTTGGAGTATTTATTTATATTTATTCAAAACAGAAGGTAAACTTAATAGTATTAAATATTAATTAGATAAAATACTAACATTAAATTCTAAATCAAAGTTTTCGAAAAACCTATTCTCACGTGAATTTTCACAATATTGAAAAAAATCGTCTTTTTGGATAGGATTTCTTAATCCCATCAGCACTGTTTCTGGATTTGTGGTGCTAAATAAATAGTAAGTCATTTTTTATTTTTTTTATCTTTTCTATTTATTTATTATTTATATATCTCTTGAATAATTTGATAACATGTCTACAATTGCAATTGAATTTCTGTGATATTTAACGTAGGAATAGGGCAAACTACCTAAGATTTGGCATCTTTTCTCTTTTGTATTGAATTTATAAGTAAAGTTTTACGAAGTAATCAAGTTTTTTTCTTCTTTTTTTTTGAATTTAATAATTTTTGATTGCGTTATAAATATAAAATTTCTGGCCTATTTATTTTATTTAAATAGATATTGAACATCTTTATCTTAAAATATTATCAGTAGTATTCATTTTTATAAAAATTTATCTATATAAAAGTATGAAATATAGTCTTGTTGCCTTCATCACTATTATAGCTTATAACATTAATATGGCCGAGTTTTGAATAATGTAATAATAGAGATTATTTGTAAGTATTCTTCGCTAGCAAGTTTGATTGAATACAATTTTATGTAGTCATTTGGCATTGGATTGTGGTAAATTCTCAACTTATTAGCCAGTAAAACTGAATTTATACGTAATTAACATATATACTTGTTTGTTATGAGTAAATTAATTATTTTAGCACTTAGCCACTGATATCATTTCGCTCACATTCCTAAATTGACTTCGAATAGTCCCGCATACAGTACATGCTTATATTATTGTATAGGCCCATCAGCAGCGTGAATGAAAATATATAAAACGAGCTGTTTTGTACACATATTGAGTAAACCTTGTCAAAAATTTTGATGCCATGTTTTATTTTTCAGCTGCTCATAATTCGCTTTAATAGTAATGGATAATCCGACCAATGACTTCATACTCTTACCGAATAATATAAAAATCCTGCAAAGCAGAAGAAGCACATTCGAAAATAGTGCATTATTGCAATTGAGTAATGTTTTGTCTTCGAATAGCTCAAACTTAGAGCGGGAGTTATGTACAGTTATTAGTCAATCAGATATAATATACGTTGATTTTTGTGGATGGTTGCGAGAAAGTTCAAAGAATGAAACAAAATGGTGTGTTCTCGCAGACGCTTTCCTTTTCATCTTTTCGAGCAGAGATGATGAAATCGCTTACAGAGTCATAATTCTCTCAGGAAAAAGAATTCATTGTAGTGGGTCAACAAATAGTATAAGTATTCGAAGTAGTAAGGATAGTCATGCCCAAGTAGAAGTTTTTACTGCTCGTTCTGCAATTGAAAGGAATACCTGGCTGCAGTTTTTGGAAGTGTCCGTTCAATTACCCCTAGACGCTTTTCTATCATCAAAGAAGTTAAGGAATGGTTCAAAGCATTCAAAGAGACCTAGTATACCTAACTCGATAGCTGCGAGTGAATCTTTTGACTCTGTGCTGGACATTAAACCTCAAAGTAAACTTGTTCGGACAGCCTCTAATTTAAAGAGGAAACTGTTTAGATCGAAAAGTAAATCAAGAAAGTGTGCTAGTCTAAAATTAAGTGATTTTCGCGACAAGAAGACGTTCAATGGCTTTCTAGAGTTGTACGAGAATAGCAAGTGGCAGGTATATTGGTTCGTGCTATCAGACTGTCGATTATATGCATTTACAAGCCGTGATGAGAGTGCGGAATCCAAATTTTTTCTAATATTGCATAGTGGGGTTAAAGTGTCGAAGATGGATAATTATAAAAATCGGACATCTATATTAGAGGTACTTGATGAAAATTCAAGGAGAGAAATTCTCTCTGCTTCATCAGAGCATGACTCTCTAAGTTGGCTCTACGAGCTGCAAAATTGCTGCAAATCACCACGAACAGATGAGGATGCTATATCAACTTCAACAGAATTTAATAGCAATGTTGACGAAGATGAACCGCCTCCTGTCCTCCAAATTTTGAATTTTTACGAAAAATCTCATATGTGGAAGAACAGTCAAGACAAGTGGCGAAAGGATTATAAAATGGACACAGGAAAAAGTCCCGGTGTCAGCTTAAACAATGAATATGTCGACATATTTGATTATTCAAGTTGTAGCAGTCTGCCGGATATCCTATTAACGCCTGTTCCTTCTGACGATAAAAACTTAAGTAATGATCAGGTCAGCTACTATTTTTTTTAAACTAGATATTTAGCTGCACACTTGTTATTTTAGTTGTTTTATCTTCTCAGATAAAACAAGTAAAAATTTTATTTTTTATATAAATATACTTATAGAATTGTCAGTAAAAAATAACTAAATCGATGGATAAATGACAAGTCGATTGTTTGATTCACACTGACCTTTTGTAATTGTAATAAAATATAGAAGACGTGTAACAATTTCGTCTGTTTTATGACAAATGTACTTGTAATTTTCTCTATAATTATCTTTTTTTTTCTAGGCGAGGATTTCACTGTCGCGAAGGCGATCAATGTCCGAAAATGACTTACAGATGTATGAAGAAGATGATCTGCCTATCACTAATAGTAGCAGAGACAATCTTTCAGCAACCGATTTTAGCTACGCTCTAATTAAAGGCTTCGTTGATCTGAAAAGGAAAGATGACGAAAGTTGGACAACGTAACAAATTTGCTTATATATATATATATATTCTATTGTTAACTTGTTATATTTAAATAATTTTTTTTGGCACAGATATTGGGCTATTTTAAGGCAACCTTCGATTTTATATTTTTATTCCCGCAAAGTTTCTCCTATACCTCATCTTAGGGTTGATATTTCATCTTATCGAATAGATGTTCTTTTTGATCAAGGTCAAAGATGTATCATTGCGCTAAAAGATTTTGAGAATTACGTATGGATCCATATTTTTTATTTAAATACAATTGACATACAATACAATTTGGATCCGTACATTTTTATTTATAAATGCTTAACATGTTTTTAGGACAACTCTGACCTACTGTATCTCTCGTTCGAAAGCCAGGACGACAGAGAAAGATGGTATGAACATATGAGAGCCGTTTGTGCTGTCCGTTCTCCGTCCTACGTCCAGAATAATTCCTGTGTATATACTCGTAAGTCTTACGACAAATCACACAAAATGACCCTTAAAATTAAACTGTAACTTCTAAAGCTGGTCGTAACTCTCTTCCCGAATTGGACCGTCCCCGAGATTCACCTCCCAGTAAACTCACTCCAATAAATTCCGTATGCTTTACAATAACACAAACAATCAAGTGCAGAAATATAATATACTCATATTTTTTTCAATATAGGATTCTCTATTGGACAGGCGGACAAGGAGTGCAGTTGCCCTTCCTTACAATCATATTGTTTCAGCCCCACCAACTGTACATCGAGACACGAGTCAAGAAGTACGGGATTTAACTAAACTACAACAAAACAAGTTCGCCATCGAACTTAAAGTAATTGCAGTTATAATTGAAAATAATGGACTTTATTTATAACTATTACGATGTCTTTTTAGATTGAAGGTATTCAAAGGAGATTGAATACAAAAAAGACTCACAAGTACTTCCTACCGGGAATAAGGTTTGGCAGATCACCGAAGAGGTCGCCATCTGTTGGCAAGAGTCTTCTTCGAAGGGAACTTGAAAATTTGAAAAGGGAACATCGTTTATTGAACTTACAAGAAAAGTTAGCAAACTGCAGTTTAGCGGCAACAAGCCTAACAGATTTAAGTAGGCCCAGAGTGTCATCTTTTAATTGTAGTCCTGCAACAAGCGGTGAATCAACGCAGTCGACCTACTCTCACGACAAACCAAGAAATAGCTGGTCTCCCGGATCTAATTCAAATGGAAAAGTCGCAGATTTGCTCAAATCCTATCTAAAAGAAGAAATGCAAAAGTATAAACTGGCCAAAAATGAAACTGGTTGGGAAGGTATATCTAGAGAAGCAAAACAATCGATCCAAGTAACCTTTCTATTTTTATTTTTTTGACTAATTCTTCTATTTTTTTTTTCACCATATGTTAAAAATCTAGCTAACGATTGTGTGTGTTTTTTTTTCTTACAGGCCTTCGAGCAGCTAATCTTTGACACTTTAAAGGAATAAGCAGCGTTTATTTTCATTCACCTGCAATTTATATACTGATTTACGCATACTAATCTTTTGAAATAAAAAAAGTCAAATTATTCAAACTTTTGTAACAAGTTTAAGCGAATCGTGCTCAATGTAGGCTTATTTTGGAAAGATAACAGAATCTGACGCGCTTTTAACTCTCATTAAATATACGGTAGGTCGTTAAATAGCTCTGGTTCAGAAAGCGGATACTTTGAATACGTATATTGTACTAATAGTAATGGGAGAACTGATAATGCAAGAATGGTTGGAATGCTGGAGAGTTCAATGCGCACCCCTTTCAACTGCAGCCCCGCGGTTGTTTTAACAGTTTAAATTCTGTTACGTCTTAGATGTTATCTCTGTCTGTAATGTCGAAGTAGGCAGTTTATACAGCGATTATTTGTTACGACGACAAAAGGTTTCGTATTGAACCGCGTAGTGGCGCTCTACTAGCTGCAAGGAACTAGCCTGGAACTAACATATTGAGAGGCAAAACAAAATGTCCGCCTATTCATATGATATAAAACCATTGATAGTCTTCGTTTGAGGCAGTCGCGAGTGTGATCTCGGCAACGTTCGATCTCGGCTCCTCATCGCTCATTCTAGGACCAACATCCGCCATAACGAGTTAAGAAGGGCGTGCCGTTTCTACCTCATTCCAATCAGAAAAAGTTTATTTTTCTTCGCAAAACTATAGGTAATGTATTTTTTTATCGAATCATCGTCTTATTGTTTCTAAATGAAACGTCTTTTGGGAGTAGATGTTTTGGATGAAAATTCAATCTAAAAAAGGGGTAACCGACGAGTGGGGTATGTAATACCGGACCCGTCAACAACCCTACGTAGCTTGAATATTGAGCGTTACCGAATTTCGTCAAACGAAATTTTTTTTTGAAAGGCAGTGAACGGGCTTTTTCAATTCGCTCCACTAAGCTTAGCGCGATTCTGATGAATAGGTCTGAGTATGAATGACGGGTTTTGTGTTAGAATTCTTCACATTTTCTAATTCAATTGATAGCGTTCGTTTTCCGCAGACTAACTCTGTAGGTTTATTTTATTGTATTGCTGGCAGGAGGAACTGCTTGCAATTTGGGAGAATTACTATAGCTATTAAGTCTATTGAATGCGGGTAATAACGTAAATAACCGACTCTCTAACAGTTGAGACAAAAAGCAAAATTTCGAATAAATTAGAATAAGTCGTAATTTAACACGCAAACAAAAAAGTAAAAAGGATATCGAGTTTGTCATTGTTTTCTATAAAGACAATAAGAACTAGACAATAGAGTGGTAGAACCTATAAAGCTTATCTTTTGTCGCATTATGCTTTGTTTGTTTCTTAAACTATTACCGAAAGCTATCAACTGTTAGCTGTTTTCTTGTTTTTCGCGTTTTATTTTAAGAGAAAAGTAGCAAATCTGGACGAAAGAAACAATGCTGAGAAAAAAAAGAATTGCGATCCGATACGACGGAATAAATAGCATTCATATGTCAGTGTATCTAAGGATAGTGCATTGTGTTTCTATCTTCTAGAATGTCCGATTGTATTCGAGCAAAAAACAATGGCAAACTTGTAATTTGAAGCTTGTTGATGCTACACGCTAGGGGGCGTGTCTTGATTGCCAACCCAATGGGACATTCAGACTTGGTCGCCAGAACGATAAGGTTGTCTTTGAAAAGGTAAAAAGCATTTTAACACTTGTTGTGTCATCTGTATTTAGTAAGTTCATTGTAAGTTGTGTATTGGACTGATCAGCGACAACCGGCTGTGCTCAAGTAAACAAGTCGTGCTTTTCGATGGACAAAAGGCACAAATTATGTTTCAAATCTAGCGTCGTTTCGTGCCGATAAGATGATAATGGACAGATGGCGCTGTAGTATAGGGACGGTGGCGGTGTCTTGTGCTATAGGCAGTTCACGAGACAGTGCGTCCTCCCTCTACTTCAGTTTGCCTAATTCAACCCTAAATCCTTGATTTGCAACCTTGACGAATGATGGCTTTCATTTATTTCTTTTTATTGGTAACTTGTCAGCGGAAGACTACTTGCCTCTCGTGAACATTTTTTCCATGAGACAGTATGTCCTCCGAGAATGAGATACCACCTTACATCAATTACTTATATTTATTAATTAATGTTGATTGCAATGTCGCATTTTTGCGTTATCTTGTTGAGGGAAAAAAATCTTATCTTTTTTTATCTGTTACTCTTTTGTCGTAACTTTTATTCGTCAGTCTGCCGCGAACCAAGCAGTATCGATGATCTAAAGATGAAAATACTATTTTGTCTTGTGATATTATCAGCGGCCTCATGTGCCCCAAATTTGAGGAAAGAAGAAGTTTTAGCTAAATTGTACAGCTTTAAAACACAATGGGACTCTTTCGTTGAGGATGCTGATACACCGTTGATGGAAACATCAATGTTTGACAAAATTTCCTCGGCTCTCAGATATATTGAACCATCAACTCCACTAGCACAAAGTTTTCTAAAGAAAGATACAAATATTCTTTACATGAACAAACCTTTTACTAAATTCGACTTTAATCCTACATTTAAAATGAACTTCATGGACGTTTTAAGGGATTCTCTTAAGGCATATCTGTCTGATATTTTGTCCTCGAGTGAAGAAATTAAGAATATGATACGTACTATAGCTATGGGGAAAAGATACGATTCTTCAAAAATCAGGAACTTTATAAAAGAAATAACTGTTGCTGAGAATTTGGAGAGACATATTGTCAATGATGCTTTAAAAATATATTTGGGCAAAAACGGAAAGAGCAGTCCTTCAATTTATGCTAATCATACAATCAATGATAAATGTAAGTGGGACTTTAGTACAACAATTCTCGACACTGGACGAATGGTCATAAGTTGGCTAATAGATGCGGACACACTAGCTGAAGAGTTGTACGCTATTGTAAAGAATGTTATTTTTGATGTTGTGGCAGACATGTATCCTATATTAGTTGAAGACATACTTGGTCCTAAGTGTGAATGTCGAAGGCGGGCGGAGCCAGCAGAGTGCGTATTAGAATGCTGTCAACCGCCTACGAATTGTTCAGCATGTTCAGATCAGGACTTTGAGGAAGAGGATATTCTTTTAGTTGGTCCAGTTGGGGAATTAATTTGTTCATTTATTGATGATCTCGGTTTGAATGAGAGTCTAAAGCTAATTGCAAACAAGACACTGACAATTACTGAAGAACAAACAGCTACTATTATAGGATGTAAGTTTAAGGATGTCTTATATTTTTTCTGAATAAGTTTGTATAACAGTAATCGACGCACTTTTCAAACTTCCGACTGGGATAATGGAAGGAAAACTACATTGGATGGGAAGCTATGATCTATGCTTGGACACAGAAATGAAATTTAAGCACTGGTCGATTTCGGGTGCAATTTCTCAGAATGAACCAAAAAAATCTTACAAAGGTCGATATTGTCGAGTAGGAGTCTCACCAACAGAGGTTTTTTTTTTTTATTAATTTGTTCTTATTTAAGTACTGTATCTTTAAATCTTATTCCAAAATACTAGCTCGTGCGAAACAATAGTGTAGGTATCTTTATGCTTAGTGTTGGAATGTGCGTGTCTGATGCATGTAGCAGAGAAGATGTTGGATCATTTTTTACAAAAGGTAATTTTTAAATAGATTAATACTGTTTATATATTAATTGTTTTTCACTAGATCTTCAATTGCCTAATTTAAACATTCCAAATCTTTCAATTCCCGGTTTATTAAATATATCTGCAATAAATGTTTCTTTACCATCACCTTTGGAGAACATTTTAGGACTTTCAGTAGTAGAAGTTGCCTGTGGAAATTATTGGTACGACCTTAATACACCTAGACTAAGAGCTGGCCTGTAAGTATCACAAGCTAAGTTCCATATTATAAACATTATTTGAGAAATTTTTTATAGTGGTGTTGTTCTGGCGGTAGTTGTGTTAGTAATTCTGGCAACTTTGTATGACTGCTTAATAAGGCGTAACATAATGAGAAAGAAATTAACCCAAAGAAAAGAGCTTATGAGGAAAAAACTTTCAGTTGCTACTTTTGAGGGTTTTGATAAAGTAAATGACAACAAGCTCGCAGTTCCTCCATCGATTCCTAGTGGAAATAGCCCACCAGGATACTCTCCAGTGCACGAAGATGACATGAAGCATCTGGGTGGAGGTTAATTTTATTTTAAAGTACTCAAAACGCGATTCAACGATTAATAATTGTTCAACAGGAAAGATCTATCCCACTTTACCGCGATCAATTTCAACAATTTCAAAACAGAGCTCTATGGTACACTTCTTTAGTGCAGAAAGCTGCGTCGAACCAACGTCCAAGAGAGATGGTAATAAACCCTTATTACAACATTTTGTTATGAGCTGTGAATAAACCATTACTTCAGAGTGGATTGATCGAATCGAAATGGCTTTTGCTGGTTTTTCTGCCTATTCCAACCTTCGTAGAATTTTTCGCACCAATACAAGAAAAGAGGAGATTCGAGCGATTAGTGGTATGAGGGTTCTCAGCTACGGTTGGATTGTTCTAGGACATACTTTCTTATTTGGCATACTTATAACTGAAACATTTAGTACATCAAATCTTGTATCAATCTTACCTAAGCTTATCCAGAGATTTAGCTTTCAAGCGATTATAAACTTTCACTTCAATTCGGATACATTCTTAGTCATCAGGTAATAAGACAACAATGAGACCTTAATACTTTACTAATGCTTACGATTTGAACGTAAAGCGGCTGTTTGACAGCTTACTATTTTTTAAAACACTATGAAGAAAATGGTAACAAGATTACTGTAAGGCAAATGGTTTATTTTTACTGGCATCGGTATTGGAAGTAAGTGAATACTTATTTTTATAAACAACGCATTTTCTGACAATACGATAACTTTTAATAGGCTTGTTCCCCCTATGGCTCTCTTAATAGGTAACCTCTGCTAGATTAACTTAACCGTCTATTACACGTATAAAATAATTACAGCTTTTTATGGTCCCATGTACCGTTTTCTTGGGGATGGTCCCATGTTTCCAGTGAGAATAACAGACGGTGATAACTGCAGGGAGAATTGGTGGGTTAATATGCTGTTGGTGCACAATCTTGTAAAGAGAACAGAACAATGTCTTGCCTACACGTGGTATCTTGCGGTGATTTGGCAATTACATATTGTTTCTCCTTTTATTCTAATACCACTATGCGTGTACGTATTGTTTATCTTTTTGTCAGCTGTTAGTTATCTTCATATACTAATTTCTAATGTACCGTGCGTCAGATAAGAATGCATCAATATCTAGGTGGGACATGGGTCCTTGTCCCTATTAACTAACTAAAGAGTTCTCTATATCTTAACTTGATAGCTTATCAGCTACTCGGAGCTTATCGATTTTATTGCATTCTATGCAGAACTCTTTGCATTCTTAAAAGTTAAACTAGAGCCTCTGGCCCTACATTATGACATTGCTAATTTGAAAATTAAATGAATTTTTCAGAAAGAGAAAGTTTGGGTATGTGATACTATTTTTAGCATTTACGGCACATTGTGTTGCTACTGGAGTGATAAGTCATAAACAGTGAGTTCACTATACATAAATATTGTTTAAATCTCTAAATTAATTAACTTGAAGGTTTGATTCTGGGCTAATAGGCTTCTATAGAGAAGTCTTATCAACGCCGTGGTGTAGAGCTGGTCCTTTCCTAATTGGTATAGGCCTTGCTTTATTATTAAGAAACAAGATAGCAATTGAAAAGAGAATTAATTGGGTAGGTATTTTCTAAATTTATTGTTAAAATATTATGAAAGTTGACTATTTCGACAGCCTATAGCCGTTTTATTGTGGCTAGTTTCGATAGCGGCAATGGTCACTGTAACCTTTATAACTTATACTCAATTTCGAAAGGGAGGAACTCCATGGTCAAAAACTGGTTCAGTAGCATTTGACGTTATTGGAAAAAATGTTTGGGGTTTAGGTGTATGTAAGTAATATTTTGGATATTGTTCTTTCATTTTCAAACCTTAATATCTTCTTATAATAATTTCAGCGTGGATTATTCTAGCATGTAGCATCCGTAGAGGTGGTTTTATAAATGAATTTTTATCATGGCGAGCATTTATTCCTCTAGCAAAGTGTGTTTATCCAGCTTTACTTATACACGGAATCCTTATTTTTAGATATGTCTATAATAAAAGAAATCTTGTTTATGTTGAGGATTTTGAAATGGTAAAAATCGTTTACAATTTTAAAAAAGCCGATTTGATATGAAATTCTTTTACCAACTACAGATATATGTATTTATGGGACATATGATGTTCTCCTTAGCCGTCGGATGTTTGATTGCCATTCTATTCTGGTATCCTTTCCTCGGATTAGAAAGAGCAATCTTAGGGCGTGCAGATTCGTCTCTTAAAGAGCTCAAAGCTGAAATGATCAATGATATGAAACAGGAACAAGAATTATTCAGCAATGCACAAGGTACTTTAGCTGATAATGGAGGAGCCTTTTCCTACGGTCGACAAGTCTCTTCCTTATAATCGTGAAAACAAAATAAATACCACTTGACTGTACCCGCTATCAGTGGCAATGAATCTTAAAGATTTTAATTTAAGAGTATATATTCACACATGTTTGCTCATTTTTATGAAATGTTGTTAAAGATAATTTCTTATGGTTGATAATAAATTGATAATTAAAGGCCGAGTCAGCTTATCTTTTACTATAAAATATTATTAAAAATAACCGAATTACTTAATTGTAAACAGGATGCGTTTAGGAGCGTTTGTAATATATATTACTTTTTCTTTATTTTGTTTAAAACAATGTAAAGGAACAAAATATCATAGGTTTTTAGACTCTTTTAATCAATTGAGTAATTTAAAGATTTTCCTAAATCAAATCGGAAAGTCATTTGAAATAAAAGACGACTGGCCTGATCTCAAACATACTTTTCGACTGCTTGGATCTGATGGCTCACTCAGATATAGAGGTATTTTGGAAGGACCGCGAGCATTTCGAAAGTATGCAACTTTATTGTCAAGCGAAGAGAGAAAGTTTAGTCATAGAGAGTCTGTAGAATCTTTTGATGTTTTTCGACCGCCCAGTAATTATTCTCAATTTGGCGTTTCTCCCACTTGCCAGCATGATATGAGTGTAGGCGTTTTAAATGGATTTAAATTACTAATGACTATATTGGGAGATGAAGCTGCAGAATCTTTGGTTGGACCTCCATTAGATAAAATTCTGCGGGGTATGAGAGATTTGAAAGAACTCAATAATAAAACTGTTGACGCAATAATTACAAGTAAGTTTGGAAAAGTCATTTAGCAAGATTCAATTCATATTTTTCCATTTATAAATTATTGACAGCAATGGATGCATTTTTCAAACTTCCATCTGGAGTACTTGGAGGGCAGCTGCATTGGGTTGGAAGTTGGGCATTGTGCAATGGAATGAGAAATCCGTACTTGGATTGGAAGATGGAATTTGAAGATGGAAATAAGACTACGATTAACTACTTGGGAGAGAAAGAATTTGGTGGAAAATATTGTAGATTAGCTTTGGTTCCAACAGAGGTGGGTTGTTTATAAAAAATTATTAATTTATAAGTTACATTATTGTGGAAATTTAAAGAGTCTCGAAGAAGGAACAGCCTCAATTCCCATTGAACTTGGACTGTGCTTTCCTGATTCTTGTAATTATACAGAAATTGGGTCGATAATGCAGCGAGGTGATCTATTTTTAAATTTAATAAACGATACTTGGAATTAAGTTGATAACATTCTAGGCCTAGTGCTAAGTAATGTAGAGGAAACCGATAATAGTAATCCGAGGCTAAAATCTCTCGATGAAGCTCTTGGCTTATCTGTTTTGGAATCATTCTGCGGAAATTCATGGTACTCCTTAACTGACTATTGGCAGGGTAGAGCAGTTTTATGGAGCGTTGTCGTTTTAGTAATTATTATAGTAGTTGCAACAATTTACGATATCGTTTTTCGAAAGGAAGTATTAAAGATGAGGGTACATTATTTAGAGTCAACAATGACACAAAAGAAGGGAGCTGCCTACATATTTCAATCACCAGATGTAAAAACTTCGTACGACATGGAAGAGGATGATTGTCCAGAGAAGGGCATAGGAATTAAGGATAGACTTGAGCAAATTATTAGTGGTTTTTCAGCTTTCTCAAGTGCCAAGTTAATTTTCAATACATCTTATAAAAGAGGGTATATACCAACTGTAAATGCTCTGAAATTTTTAAGTTATGGTTGGGCAGTTGTAGGTAATACTTATGTTTTTGGAATTTTGGTCGCTGAAGTACACACGACTGGTAATCTTATAAACGCTCTACCGAAATTGTTAAAACGATGGACATTTCAACCTGTTTTAAATTATCATTATAACATGGATACATTTCTAACAATAAGTGGATTTTTAATTGCCTATTCCTTCATAAACAAATATAAATCAATTAAGCAGATAACTCCAAAAGTTATTGCTCTGTTTTACTTTCACAGATGGTGGCAGTAAGTATTCTATGTTAATTTTATGAAAAATAACATTATTAATAATTTAATCAATAGATTAGTGGTTCCCCTGATGTTTGTTGTTGGTGCATTTGCCTATCTTTATAAACAACTGGGTGATGGTCCACTCTTTGCCATAACTGTTACTGATGCTGAAAATTGCAAAAGCTCTTGGTGGACTAATCTCATTCTTATGCATAACATTCTAAATAGAGATAAACGTTGCTTAGCATGGACTGTTTATGCCGGGCTTGTTTGGCAGCTTCATATAATTACGCCTTTTATATTAATACCTTTCCTACGGTAGGGAAAGTTGCTTTATCTTAATGGCCATATGTGCTTTTATTCCCATTGCTTGTATTTCTTTTATTTTTTTGTAGAAAACCAGTTGCAGGCTATATTTCGCTAGCTGCTTTTTATATAGCACATATAGTTTCAACAGCGGTGATCAGTAGTAGGGAGTACAATGGAGGGGCAAACGTTGGCGGCTTCTTCAGTCATATTCTAACAACTCCGTGGTGTAGAGCTGGTCCTTATTTGATTGGAGTTCTCTTTGCTCTTGTTTACAAGAAAAAGCACAAGCTTGCAGAAAAGATTAATGGTTATGTAGCAATTGTTTGCTGGGCAATTTCACTTGTAATTGTTACATCGATAACATTTTCTACTTTATCAATATTTAACAAGAAAGATAGTTTTTTCTCTCCATGGAACAAGGCAAGAGTAGTTGCCTCTGATACACTTTCCCGAAGTGCCTTTTCAATAGCAATTGTCTGGATAATTTTTGCGTGTACCAGTGGTTTTGGTGGATTTCTGACAAGATTTTTCAGATGGAGAGCATTTGTTCCACTATCAAGAATACTTTATCCAGCAATGTTAATTCATACTATTGTAATATTTCGCTACATTTACAATAAAAGAATACCTATATTAGTAGAAGATTTTGAAATGGTAAGGATGAATTGAATTAAAAGATTCGTACAATATTATCATGTTTACTTCTTTCCTTTAGATATATTTATTTTTTGGCCATTGTCTAGCATCCTACGGTTTAGGCCTTGTTGTTGCTTTGATAATATGGTATCCTTTTCTTAATTTAGAAAGGGCGATATTATATATGGATAAAAAAGATATTTTTATGGACATGAAGAAGTATATTAAATCTCCACGAAAGTGAGATAAAAATGGAATTTTAAAATATTTGTATAATTTTTTTTATATACAATTAAATTGAAAGAAAGAGATAGATTCTTGCTACTAAATTAGAGACTTTAAGATAAGATATGTCAAGTACAAAACTGTACTTTTCAATTATATCTCTATTATTCGACTACTTTCCTTGTAATTCGTTTCATTAATATTGATAATGAAAATTTCTTATCAAATAGTTGTTTGTGCAGCGTCTGTTTTAATATTATAATCTAGGACAGCTTGTACAGGTAATGTAGCATCTAAATAATACTAACCATACGAATTGTTAAACTAAGATTGTATCGAAGAAACTTTAATAATAAATAATAAAGTTTAAAATTACGGTGCTAATTTTTGTAAATTAGTCTTGTTTTTCACTTATTTATCTATTTCACAAGGTCGTTAACGTTAACATCTATTAATACCTGAAATATATTAAGGTATATGACCACATTTTAATTTAATGGTACTTGCTATCTTAAAAAATCATATGAAAAATAATTGATTTTTGAATGTTATAAATACTGAGATATAAAGTATGTTATACGACTAGAACGCACACACGAAGAGCAAAATAATAGAATTTACATATTACCCATATCAATTAATTATTATTAATTACAATATAAGATAAAGATTAAAAATAGAGTTATTTACAAAGTAATTTATATCATGTAAAAGGTTGAAGTATTAATTCTATCCAAGCTGTTTACAATCATTTCTAAGAAATAATAAGGAGGGATCAAAAGATATTATATTATGATTTATTCTCTGTTAGAAGTTTATCATCAACTGTAATAATCAAAATCAATAAAAACAATGTTAAATATTTTAACTATGTTTTAAAATTATTTTATTTATGATTTATATATCTCTTTAATAGTGTCTAATAATTTGACTTTGGTACATTTCCATTAGGGACATACTTTTTAAAAAAGTTTTTCATTTTTCTCCAAGAATCTATCTGTGCCATTGCGTGTTCGTAAGTTGATCCACCGTATATTAAATTTGTACCTAAATGTTATAATTAGTTTCTCTTTTCCCACCATACTTAAATATTTACAAATTACTTACCAACGTATTTGTGATAGCAGACTTTGCAAAGCGGTGAATGGGGGGGCTCAATTAAATGACCAGTATTGGGATAGCTAAGCATCTATAGAAATAATTGTTTTTATTGAATTGAAATAAGTCTTGTTTTGTTTTATCCGAAATAACCTCGAAATTATTGTAGTTTAATTTCTTAATTTGATCCCTAACGATATGACCTGATAATACGCTGTCCGTATTGCAGTCGTCCTCTCCTGCAATCACCATAATTCTGCAATCGGCAGTTTGATTTAGAGGAAGAACTGATTCGGGAGTATAATGTTGAGATACGCCTTTAAACACCATTCCCTCTTCCGTATTTACAATTCTGTCATAGTCCATATCTCTGTATAAAAGTAGCGCGAAATGAATTGAATGAAATTATTTATCATATTCTAGGAAAATTATTACGTTGTTTTCTCAGCAACCAGACGACCCTTATACTTCCTTTCAAAAGTCAAAAATGCTGTTCCGTTTATAATGCAAGCGGCTTTTACAAGCGGTATATAATTGACCATCATCAGAGCGATTTCAGCTCCAAGTGACAAACCAATTACGCCAACTCCTCCCTTTTCCACTTTTTCCTGGCTTTCCAGGAATTTCACACCTTCCTTTATAATTGAAATATAATATATATATATATATACAAATATATGTAAATATGATAATATATAGGTTTTATTTTACCTCGAAATAGTCAAGTGGTATATCTATATTGGGAGGTATATCCCGATAATCGAAATAACCGAGGCATAAAACTGCAAAGCCTCTTGAAGAGAATAATGCGCCTCTATGTTCAAATAAACCTCCACCAGTTCCAAATAGATCAACGATACCTTTAAAAGGTCCTTTACCTTTTGGCATGAATAGAGTTCCTCGAATATTTCCCTCTGCGATTTCTTTTCTGTCAACATTTTCCTGGTCTAAATACCATCTGTCTAATTGCGTTACAGATAAGTAACTATTGCTTGTAAAAGGCTTCTCATCGCAAATATCTATATGACCATCAAAAACGGCAAGTTTTACATTTATTGGAGTTGTTATATCCTTCTTCAGATATCGTAGACCATCCCTTTGATTGATTGCGTTTTTTTGACTCCAAAACAGGCCATCAGCATGTTTACCTTTATATGTTCCACCTAAACTTTCATCATTCGTACAAGATACTTGTCCATTATCGTTCGCCTCAAAATAGGCATTGGACACCATTTTTACATTAGAATCATTAGAGTATGAAGCTATAGTAACTTTTTGTTTTGGTTTAAGATTTTTGACAACAATGTCAACACTGTCATCAACAAGAGCGGATCCGGGTTGAACGGAAATTGATACACTAGTTGAAAGCATCCGACCTGTTAGTGATTTATTAAAATTGTTAGGGGAGAAGAGTTAACTTACCAAAAGAACTTTTTACTGAAGTATAAATGCTAAATGATGTCCTACTAATATTTTGCATTAGTGAGTGTGCACTTTGAACAGCCTTTTCGCTTTGAATTGTCGAATGTTCCTTGTACTAGTACATAGCTTGGTCATAGGGCGTAAAGTAGATCATTTGATTAACAGATATCTTTGTACTACCGTCCTAATTTTGACGTCCCTTCAAAAAACTGGTAAGAAAGAGTTTTTGTCTTTAACGGGAGATGGCGCTCTATGTAAAGCCAAAACTATGGCGAGGTCACGTGTTATAGAAGGATGTTCAGAGTCTTTTAATCGTTCTTTTCATTAGTAGGAAAAACGCGAAAGAAGAAAGACATTCTTTCATTTAATAATGGTAAGATACTAAAAATAATTTTTTGTCGATTAGTGTGGAGATTTTTTCGATGATAGAACGCTTGCGATTCCTTCCCGCTCAAATTCGCCGGCTTCGAACGAGCTCGCTCGAGGTCAGACAAGATTTATGCGTTTTTTATGTACGTTTCATTATTAGAAGTCTTACCTATATTCTGTACAATTTGAGATACAAAAAATAAATAGTACTACTAAGCTATAAGATGTTAAATTGATAAATATTTCAATGTATTAGGAAGAAGTAGATTTTAAGAACGTTCGGGTAGAATGTTCTGCTGATGGAAGCCTCCATAAAACAGTAAGAATATTTGACGAACAACACAGAAAACCTCCGTCCTATGTTATCCTATCAAGCATCGTTTGTCTGCTTATTCCACCGCTCGGGTTCATTAGCTTGTACTACTCAATAAAATGTAAAAGATCGACAACGGAACTTTCAGCATGGGAAAACTCTAAGAAGGCCTTATTCTGGTTTACCGTATCTTTCATTATTTTTTCATTGATTGGTTGCATACTTTTTATGTACTTGGTTGGAGTTGGTTGGTCATCAATGAGTGAGGAACAAACGACGAAGAAGACAGTACGACCGTTTTCATTTAAATTTACAACACTTAAACCGATAAGACTGAGTATCGACTTTTCGCGATGAAATTTCGTCATCTGTGCTTTAAATGCAGTACTTAAGACAAAAATACTCTAAAATGGGAAACATCACGTTTTAACCTTACTTTTTATACTATCTACTTTGACATACGTTGCTTTTGTAGGAATTACGTTATTGTTGTTGTTACTGTTGTTGTTTTATTTTTTTTTTGCAGTAAATGAGCCAATGGAATGAATAAAGCTCCCGGTGTAGAACTTGTGAATACTATGTACTTAGTGAATTGATTGCTGTTGGACGTTTTTGTCTGCTGTAATTATGTATAAGTGTTTTTGGATACATATTTATATAAAGTATGTATTTAAAACTAACGCTTTGTTTGTATATTATATATTCTATATTTATATTTATTTATCTTTATGCGTAAATTGCTTGTCGTAAAGTTTATACATATCTCGTTAGTTTGTCAAGCGAAACTGTACCTCGAGGCAAAAACTATTGCCCGTGTCTTCGACAGCCATAATGTTCGAAAATTCTCGTAAATAAAGCATTATTGTTTCGCGCTTTACATTTTTTGCTTCGTTTGCTAAGAAAAAGTCTTTACGATACAGTGATATAGTATAGATTTAATTGACAAAAAGCGAATTTCATTGTATATAGGAGAATGAAAGGTATGTATGACTCTTTGATAAAATACTCAAATTAATAAAGAAATTTATTATTGTATATTGTATTATTAATATAATAATAGGTTTATTGTCTTTCTTATAGATATAACCACATTCTATTTAAGAGATGTGCGTAGTCAGAGAGAAACCTGGACAATATAATAGTGTATCGTTTAACTGCAGCTAAATGTGTAAATAAAGCTATAAATCGTATATACAAGCATATATATATATATATACTTTCTTGTATACGTTTACTAAGTATAATATACAAACGGTATTTATAAAAACCACATAATCCTGTAGAAAATAGTACCTTCTTATAAATATAATAAATCCTTATAAAAAATAAATAAAGCATAGAACTATACTGTATATACTGCGTACTTGTAGTTTTTTTTTGCAGTACGCTACAATTTATTTAGAAGAAAAAAGAGACAAGAAATTAATTTTCGTTTTAATCAACCTGAAAAAGAGCAGAGAGAATAAGTTTAAGTTTTCAGCGTGAACAATTTTATATATTAATTTCTTTTTTATATCTATATTTCTCTGTTCTAGACGTGCACTCGTTTTTTTTAACTTGTCACAAAAAAAGACTGGCAATTTGCATAATATTACTATGAAATATTGTGCTTTTACGTAGATTTTATGGATAATTTATGGATTAAGTTATTTTTTTAGATATATTTTATTTAAACTACGTGATATGTTCATATTTCTATAGGAAATACTTATAGAGAAGAAGAGTATGAGAGAGAAAAAAGGGAGAGAGAAAATTCTGTTAATGCGACACTACGGGAAGCCTTCATCTCGAATTTCTTATGTAAAAAATACAAAGAATGTAAAGACAAGATAAAAACAGTGTTTATGATCGATGGTTAAAGATATTCTTCCTTTTATAAAAAGTGAACATTCGAAATGCTTTGTTATGCGTTATTGAATATAAAAAAAATTTATCTTTGAGTTTTCATAAAAAGTTTGTAATAAAGATGGAAAGAAAGAATGAGAGGAGAGAGCAATAGCGGGAGCGAAAGAGCGAGAGAGAAATAGATAGATAGCTTAAGAGTGAGAGAGAGAGAGAGAGAGAAAGGGGAAAATTTTCTTTTCAGCTAGACATAAAATGGAACTATACAAATAGCCGTTAGTATAATTTTGTTAGCTTATCTTTCTGCTTGATTAGTGTTCACTTCCTCCTACTTTTTTTAAAGTGACAGCATTTTTACTTTGTTAGTTACATTTGTCTTTTTTTTTTTTTTTCCAAGTTTTATTCCTTTGTTCTCCTCCTATTATTCATATGATTTTAGACTTTTTAGAAGGTTATTTTTATTTGATTTAAAAGTTAATTATATTAAATTATACAATCATAAGTAAAAGATAAAGTTTCACATCTATTGCTTGAAGAGAAGGCGAGAGATTTTTTTGTTATTATTACAGTATAATATTGTACGGTACCGTGCTGTTATATACTCCTTCAAGTTACCCTACATTCTCATAGTTTTTAATGGTATCTTCACCAAGATATCTTTGTATTGAGTAGAATATTTATGATGCACGAAATAGTACTTGTATAGACCTCTTGTGGAACTTCCATATATGGGAAGTGTGAAGTTTTTTATTTTTTAGCAGTCATTAATATAATATATTTATACATGTGCAGTATATGCAGACACGGTGTACGTATGTAGTACAAGTATATAGTTTATTTTCGCCAGATCTATTGCGTCGATTTCCCTCTTTATAGTCTAAAGCTCATTTTACACAGTGATGAATAGCTTGGCGTAACTTTTTCCTGCTATATTTATTAAGTGTACCCATCTACTGACTTTTTCCTGGATATATTTGCCAATTAAATGTCCAAACGAATGCTTTATCGATGCTCTATTTACCCTATTAGCTGCGTTATTTGATTATATTTACGGACAATTTTTTACTCTATAATCATTTACAAAACTAGATGTCGTGTTTAGCACGCCATTGGATAGTGACGCCATCTATGAATTCTCCGAAAGAATAATTAAATAAATAGTTTATAGAGAAAAGTCTCCTATAGGGTTTTTATGGAATTCAATGAACTTTCCTTAAATTAAATTTAACGAGATAGAGCGGGTGCAATAGATATAAAGATAGATAGATAGATAGGTAGGTAGCTGGCTAGACAGATAGAGAAAGCGAGACGATGAAAAAGAAGATAGACTGGATAGTGAGAAAAAAGGAAAAATAAAAGAAAAATTCTATTTAGAAGTGCTTGTACTTATCAATATAAGCTTTATATAATTTTTGTGTAAGAAGATCATATTCTAATTAAATCTTTGAGCTTTGAATAATCTTGTAATTTAACTATAAAATTTTAATATTTTCGCCTTAAATGGAAATTTTTCGATTTAGAGAAGGCAAAAAAGGGGTGAAGAATCTCTAGAATCTATTAATATTTATATATTTACCAAACTATCTATCCATCTATAAATATAAATATCTATTTTTCCTAGTAGCTATGTATACAAAAAAATTAGTGCTAAATAAAATATATACCATGTTCTTTTTTATATAAATATACACGCAGTTTGTACGCAGCTAATAAAAATAGTAGGTGATTATTTATAAATTTCGCAACTGTGGATTCTGTTGAGTATCTGATTTGGCCTTTTTCCAGATTTTTACAAAATTGTTACCTTATTGTTAAAGGAAGGAGCTATTAAAGAAAAAAGAAGAAGCTAACTGGAATGAATCTTTATTCATTTGTATATATATATATATATATATATATGTATATCTTATCTATTGAATCATAAGTTTATATTTAAGAAGAACTATTTATATAAGAATGTGTAATATAATTACTATTCCACAATTATATGTTTATATTAAGTGTTAATATTGTTTGTAATTCATTGTAAGTCTAACACGAGGCATAAATGTTATATATACTACCAACTTTCGAAATTATTCCTCTTGATATTTGTTTAGCTCAGCAAATATGCCTTGCTTTCTTAGTAATACTCATATCCCGTATATATAGTTTATATTTATCTCCATGACAACTAAAGACATGAAACAAGTAGAAGTCAATAAAATGTTTTCTTCTCTTACGAAATTTATTAAGTAAAAGTTAAAAGTATTTGAGACTGTAAAAAGGGAAAGAATCAAAGAATCCTACCTAATTGAATACCTATTCGAAAACTATCTATTTTCTCTTTGCTTTTCTCTCTCTTCCCCTCTTACTCCTCCCTTTACTTATCTTTTCTCCTCCTTTCTGGTCTTATCAAGTAAAAAGGTACTTTTACTTTTTGAATT